CTACCACGAAGGGCTAAGGTCTAAACACCCATTGGGTACCGTGGGGCTATAGGGGGATATAGGGGAAAGGGGGAACGCCACATGGACTCTGGCGAGGGAACACGTGTACATGCAACATGCACACATTCTGGCTCCGCCTATGAGCTCCGCCGGGTGGTACCTCCGCGTTCAACAGTCAGAGACTGTCTACCACATACGGACAATCATAACATAGATAGCCAAGAGAAACATTTCTCCTGGGACGGGATTCAAACCCGCACAGCGCACGGCGACTGATCAGGAGACCGAAGAGTCTACTACTGCGACCACCGCTGCTGCCTGATTTCACTCATATAGGTGAGCATTGTTTTCGCACATTAAAAATAACCATTGTATTTGAATGCAGTTTATGGTCTTATTAAAACATCTAATTTAATTACCAGCATATCAAAAATCTAGACAGTTTTCTAGTGGCGCATCTTAGGTCTGCATCACATACTCTGAATTACCTAAACTATCTTGTTTACTACTGCAACTAGTACTGTTAAATAATATATTTCATTAAGAACAAAATAGCGTCAAGTAGGTTAACTCTACGCATCCCACACAACGCTGCCATCAGTTCATAAAGGATTATGCTCGGCACAAGTTATCCAAACAGTCCCATACAATTGATCCAACAGTCCTCCTCACATTGGTTAACGTTGCGATCTATAATATTATCCCCTGTCATAACTACAATAGTGGGAACGTTGCCATATATCACCCGCAGAGGGTGGCTTTGGTCCCCACCCAAGGATGTTAAGTATTAAGGACAAATCTATAATGTGTGAAATACGTCTAATGGGTACATATAAATATATATATATATATATATATAATATATATTTTTTTACGCCCACCATGCAATGTGAGGACCCCCCATGTATGATTTACATGCAAACTGAGGACCGCGACAAAGTGAGGTCCGTATACCCTAGGTATCATGTTCCCCAACACCTAGTCATTAAGAAAACGTAAATAACAGATGGTCCTCAGTTTGTAGATGGAAAAATAAAGCTTCCACCTTTAGTTGGGTACCTCGACAAGATTAAAGCGATGAGGGCTCTTTATACCTTATTCTTTATTAGTCTCTAGCTCTCGACGGGCTATGCCATCATCTTCAGCAGCTACAATAGCATTAGGAAGAAATAACAACTATTGCCCAAAATGATTTTAAATTACCTGCAATAGTATGTGAGATTGTTGTTACATGTTATTAAAGGTTAAGCTGAGGGAAACATTTAGTAACCTGGTGAAAGCTGGATCCATGGTACATTCGTTAAAAATGGTAGAAAACGCACACAGCTGTATGTCAGGAATACATCACAATGAATCAAAAATATTTGGAATGAAAGTTAATATTATTAGCATATTACATGTTACATCGTGAACCAACCACCTGATGCTGCACAAGATGGAGTAACACAGGATCAAAAGTAGCCTGAAATATTTGACAAATGCTAGAAGGATGGTAGTGTCAGTTTCGATGGATGGAGAGAAAGTTTGTAAATTACGTGCTATGTTGCCACATCACTTGAGAATGTTTGATTTTTCAAGACATGCTAAATAAAGACTTGTCAACAGATCAGACCCAACTAAAAGCGGAAGCTTTATTTTTTCATCTAACTGGTTATTAGACGACAATGACCACGTCTCAAGTTATAACATATAACAAAAAATAGGAAAATAACGGTCAAAATCCGGAAATAGAAGGAAAGTGGATTCGAGCAGAAAATAGGATAGATAACCCGAGCGATACGTATTTCTGCTGGTTCGTCAGGCTCGAAATGAATGCACATCTTCAACTATTTACAATAGCAGATGCACATGCCCGTACGTCCGGATAGGAGTGTAACCTGAGGAAACGAAGATGTAGAGGGATAAAAACCAACACACGAAGTCCACAACAAGAGCCATCCTACACATTGTAGTATAAAATTGCTTGGCACCTATTAGACACACGTCATAGATCATCATTGATGTCCATGTATATTTACCCTTAAAACCTAGAAATATGCATCTCGATCAATCACATGTCGATATAATAAATAAGTTCCAGGGTCTTAGGAAGACAGTAATACATCTTTGAATTATTGTGATTAAGACAAGATTTTAAATTTTATCATTGCTACGTTTCCGGAAGTCTTCAATCATTTTATCAACCACTTATATCGGTGACTTATCTCTAAGTGTCTATACCATACATTCAGTATAAAAAGTCTATTCGAAAAGATTTTGAATTTAGTTCAGACCAGGGACTAGAAAAGAACCATGAAGCTTTTTATAGTTATATTTACCGTACTGATTCCTACCATCTACTGCCTCTCTGATCAGGAAGAATGGCAACAATTCAAAGTAAGTAAAAACCATTACTTTTTTACATGTTCATCATATTTTCTCGAGTTTTAGAATATACAAATCGTCTGTGTTTCCAGCCCTCGTCAATCTACGCCTTCTGCGTTTTTCAGAAAATATTTGACTTGTATCGCAATTCATATGCGAGGGTGATCCCATGATCACTCTCAAAGGGGCAGGGGAACCCAATCGGACATTAAAAATTCATCACGCTATGTTTGACCTTTTTCGGTCATTATTTTCTAGCAAATGTTCGTAGTACTGTTTAAACATGGCTTGTACTGAAGTAAATATCAAACCTCAATAATAACCGCATGCGGAGCTGAAACTATTTTTCTAAATATTTATCTTTCATGAGCAAGTACAGAAAATGACAATATTATTGTAAAATCCGTGAAATGTTTTTCATTGTTTCGGGTCCTAACTTGACAATATACCTACTACCCACATCTTCCTCCCCCAAGCACTGAGTTGTGGGCTGAAGAGGGGTATCGCTCATGAGAAAATTATTTCAAACGACCTTAAAAACAATTGTATGAACCAGACGACCATCTGTCCGTAACGAGCACAATACCTCAAAGAAAATTGACTCTATTTCAAACATTGGACAAGTTAATGAGTGGCGTATTATCTCATCAGGATACTGCTCCCAGACGTACCTATATAGCACTAAGCAGGCTTTGAGTTGGGAAATTAGCCACCGCATTTGCGAGTCCTGGCACCTCAGCAATCTCACAATATTTTCAAAATTAAAATCACATCCACAATAAAAGAAATGTTCGAGTAACTAGCAGCTGATATTTGTGGTAGAGGAGTGTCTTCCAAACACCATCTTTTATGTTAGAAGGAATTGAGTAGAAAATGAAAATCATAAATTAAATGCAGTTTTGTTAGAGGGATGGAGCTTAGGGATCAACCTTCATAATAGGATGGCACTCATGACAATATAGTATTGATGAATCATCTTTTTACTTTAGACGCAACATGGTAAATCCTACAGAAGTCTCCTTGAGGAAAAGAGACGTTTCGATATCTTCAAGTCCAACCTCCGAATGATAGATGAACATAACCAGAGGTTCAACAATGGTGACGAAACCTTCAGGATGAAAATTAATCAATTTGGTGACTTGAGTGACGAAGAATTTCGTCAAATGCTGAGCTTGCAGAAAGACCAAATTCCGAATAGCGGCGATAACTTAGCATTACTAGATGACAATGTAGATATACCGAAAGAAGTAGATTGGAGAGCAAAGGGCGCTGTCACCGCAGTGGGGAATCAAGTGTATTGCGGAGGTTGTTGGGCCTTTAGTGCGGTAAGCTCTATATTTCTTTTGGTATTCCCCCTTAGTAAGCCTTAGAATAAATTGAAAGCATAAATGTCAGCACCAACCAGTTCAAAAGTTACCTACTATTGTGTTAACTAATCAGCCGGCTGAAGGGCCCAGAACACTGAGGGATCGCGAATTTGAACTAAAAAGAACAAAAGTCCATTTGCATATTAGGCAGATCACTGACCGAGTGCCCTGTCAATGTGGAACAAGCTGTTTCGCGATTCATCTTTGGAGAGGTGATCTCGCCTTAGTATGTTCAGCTAAACCCCTTGATGTTATCATTTTCCTAAATGTCATTTTGTCGCAACAATTATAATCTGACCAATGAGCAAGAATTTTAAATTCTTTAATTGTTCCTTCCAAAAAATTGAGGGAGCTAAAATTCCAAACTTTTCGGTGATCTTTGGCAAGGTGTATTCCAGTTAAAAATGTTGGCATCGAAACAACATGCTGAATCTCCAATATTCTAGTTTTTATATTTGTTTGCCGAAAAATTGTAGGTGCAACAGTTCTCCTGCAATTCTAACAGATAGCGCAAGAAGAATGTTTTGCAAAAGATTTGACTTCTTCTTTTTAGTCCACGGGCTTGGAAAGCATTTTTCCTGTTCCATCATATGGTTCGGAACCCGTTTCTTCAGCTTCAATAATCTGTTCTTGAAATCTCGATACGATCTTTTGGCTCGGAGATATCCGATTTTGAATGAGAAAGGATTTATTTGTCATCGACCACGATAATTAGTGATCGTACAGCGAATGTAAGGGTACTTCCAAAAACTGGAATTAGGCTCCAATAACATGTGGTTGCAATCTTTGAGATTTTTTTTTATTTAGTATTGATGTTAGTATAGTCAAAAATGTTACATTTTGCCTTGTTTTGGTTAATTTATCGCATTTTTGCAACTGCCAATGAGAAGGCTAATGGTTTTGAGTTTTTTTTATACCTCAATATACCCCAATAACCCTGAATGACGGCAAATCGATCCATTGTCCGGTTTCTCCGGACCGGTTGGTCTTAGTTTAAACAAATTTTGAGATGAATTTCAGTGTTCACTCATATCCTTACATTCTCTGTACGATCACTGGTTACCGAGATATCAGCGGTCGATCTTTTACCACTCAAAGTTAGATATCTGTGCGCCAAATTATCGTATCAAGATTTTAAAAAGATCTCGTATTGAAGCTAAATAAACGGGCTGTCCGGTCCGTATGATGACCTAACAGAAAAAAAATGTTTTAAGCCCGTGGAGGACATTTAAGAAGGCAAAACTTTTGTAACAAATTTTTTTCGACCAGAATGACTGAAACCTAGAATGTTAAAGCTTCAAAATAATTTTATCAAGCCTAGATATACAGCAACTCAAAAATCTCCGAAAAATTTGGATTTTTTATTGCTCCCTTAATTCCCTTAGGTGTATTATATAAGTAATGTCAGCAAGAAAATATGGGGTTTTATGCTAATTTTATTAAAATTGCCACAGACTCTCAGTCTGTTGTGAGTTTATCAGGCGGTGATTATTTGACCTTTATCCCGATATCAAAGATACTGATAATGCTCATATTAAATAATATCCTAGTATTAGTCCAACAAGCCGGCAGTATTATTACGTAAAAAAGTCATAAAAATCCTGCTTGTATGGCAGTCACAAATTTTATCTGTTCTGCTATACTATATAGACGAAACTCACACAGCCTGATCCGAGAAACAGTCACTGCCCATCAAAAAACTGAAAAAATATCAACTTGATGAGTAAATAGGCTAGTGTACAGATAGTTTATTCCGTGCTTGCTACAAGTGAGCATGAAGTGAACAACCGCTAGTTCCAAATTGACGTCATGTTGGAAAATATACCTATTAGGTGAATTCTTTAATTCGCCGGTTGATTCCACCACTGATGGATGCGGTGCTTATGGTTGACACTGTTGACAGCTTTGTATGGTGACGGCAGCAACCGGTTGAATTAAAAGGACGGATGTCTGGTCCACCGGTGGCACCGGTTGCTCAACCGGTGAATTAAAAAATACACCAAATGTCTTAAAAAACCTATATAATGTCCAAAAAAATTACATAGTGTCATAAAATCTAGCTTTTCAAGTTACGTAGTACCCCTGCTGAACGAACTGTTTCCTGACAAGGCTCGGTCGCCCATTAAAGCTGAATGGATGCCTGGTAGTCCCTTACTAGTCATCAAACTGCACTAAATTACTACGTCTAACACGGAGAGGTTTCATCAGAGGGCATTTTACTGACGGGTCATGATCAAGGTCAAACGGCACTGTTGCTGACAAACCTAGGATAAACATTGCATAAGTTAATCAAACGTCACTTTGATATGTGCAGGTAGGAGCTATCGAAGCTCAAGTCTTTCTGAAGAATGGCACACTAGAACCTTTGAGTGCTCAAAATCTCTTAGACTGTGCTAAAGGTGAGTACCACAACCTGGGATGTAGAGGAGGGTTGATGGTCAACGCTTTCAACTACACAAGAGATCATGGAGTGCTAACAGAAAAAGAGTACCCGTTCAAATCCGATTCTGGCAAAGACAAAGAATGCAAGAAGCAAGGGGGAGTCAAGATCAGCGGTTACAAGGAAATCCTAGCAGGAGATGAACAGGCTCTAGCAAAGGCTGTTGGTAAGTAAACGCTCCATAAACATATGTGGGCAATATATGATCCTATAAAATCATTTTATTGGGCAAATCGGGTATTTTCAAAAACAGCGAAGTCTAACCGTATTGTTTTTAGCTCAACCCTTTCCAAAAATTTTACTTCTGCGTTATTCCCACGTAGAAATGCAAAAAGTTGACGTATGGCTTGTTATAAAAGGTTGGGTTTGTATGATGGGAGTAATTGGGTTGAAATATATACAATATGGAGGCATTTTTGGTTCTACCGGAGGTAGATACCAGCTTGCTTATATTAAAAAAAAACCTCTTTGCGTTTAGTTTTTATACTGGGATTTGATGAATTTCATCCGATACCCACGTCTAACCGTTTTTGAAATAAGTATATCAAATTTAGCGCAACAAATGAGAAATGCAGGCCAACGAATTATAATAATGTTATAGTTAGTATATTTGAGCCACCACGCAGGTCTAAGCACTTAATACCCGCCAAACGACCTGAGTACATATTTTTACAATGCACGGGTTATGAATGAATGAATGAAACATGAAACTAGAGGCATACCGGCCTCCTTAAGGAACCAGCGCATAGGCCTCTCAGTCGGGCAGTTGTGCACCTCTACATTTCTTAGACCTCAAGCCTCGCCATTCTAGCGAAGTTGAGTATGGCCTTGAGTTCAAGCTCCTTAACGTCCTGGGGGTCCAAACTGATGCAGCCCAGTACAGACTGCCTGTAGTAGATAAGAGCCTCACAGCGACACGGATGGTGCGCCAAGGTCTCTTCTTCTACCTCGCAGCGCTCACACAAATGATCCTCAGCCACCCCCATCAAGTGCAGGTGGCGCCTTTATCGTGTTATGGCTAGACAACAGTCCCACCAGCTACCTTAGGTTGGCTGGGGTTGTACGGCTTAGGTACATACGTACTTGACGCACATAGCTTTCGTCCTATGTATGTACGTAAAAGGATGCAGTACGTCAACAAGGCGTACTATGTGCGTAGACTTTTCGCCAAAATGTACATGTACGAACTTAATTGGACGTTGTACGTCCATGGGATGTACTCACGTTTTCCACCAAAATGCACATTCTATGTACGTACATAATGGAACGTCCAGAGTACGTCAACAGGGTGATTCACAAGTCATGACCAAAAATGAAACATCATACACAGGGCCGCATTTTAAGGGGGGTCTTCTATGTAACATTTTTTATTTTTTGCTCGAGGGCCTTATACGGGATGTTGGAGTGTAAAGATAAAAAACAATATTTCCTCTAATATCTTCAAAACCGTCATCTGAATTGAACTAAGATTTGGTATGTGGAAACATTGTTGTCTGAATTTGATGAAACGCATTTTCTATGCTTTCTTGTAACTGATCAACGGTATTAGTTCTTCAGCATACACTAGTTGTTTAAAAGCGCCCCACAAAAAGAAATCCGGTGGGTTTAAATCAAGAGACCTCGCAGGTAAATATACGGGTCCGTTTCTGCCAATTTACAGTTTTCTAAAATGATTATTTAACCATGCGGTTATGTCACGAGGAACATGCGGTGGGGCACTGTCGTGCTGATATCGAATTCGAACTCTCGTTGTTGCTAACGGAACATCATCTAAGACATTTTCTATGTAAGTTTCTAGAAAAGCTAAGTATGAGTTTGCATTTAAACGTTGTGGCAGTACGTGCATACACAGTTGGCCATTGATTATGCCGTACCAGATATTTCTAGAAAATATGTGTTGATACGACTGAATTATTACAGAACGGTCATTTTCTAACGGCCAAATTTGTTCATCATGAGAATTAATAGTTCCACTACTCGTAAAGAGAGATTCATCTATCCACAAAACCAAATCAGTAAAAATCTGCATTTTGATTTTGCATTTGCAGTAACTACTCACAAAAGTTTTGCCATGGTATGGATGTAAAACTACCCGATTTAAAATTCTCCACGCAAGATCTTGGGAACACGGTAACTGGGCTGCAATCCGCCTAGTACTTGTACTAGGATCATCCAAAACCAAATTGATCACTTCCAGTTCCTCTTGAACGGTCTGCCGGACACCATGGCCTCTAACTTCGGGAATTCTGGCAATTTCATATTGCCGAAGTCTTAGAAACGAACGCGTAAAAATCTTTGCGGTAGGTTGGCGTCTTTTAGGAAATCTACATTGACAATCCCGAGAAGACGCTACAGAACCCGCACCCAAAAATAATATCGGCGTACTCATCATTGCTAAATTCCATTTCAGAACACTCAGAAATGAAAAAAGGAAGTTCTTACTTGACTTTTACAAAAAGGAAAACGGAAGTGGCAACGATAACAACCGTATACCGCATAACCTTGAAAGGCTATCTCCCAAGAAACGTCAAGTCATCGTTGGTTGTCAGAGCGGTCCGTGTGGGACCTTAGCTCTTGAGTCACAGTGTCAGTTTGTAAGTCTGACAGGTCTGGTAACCCAGAAACCAGACAATTTTAAGTAAAAAAGGGGAAGGAGAGGAGAGAAGGAAGAACAAGAGCAAAGGGGAAGAAGAGAATCTTTTAGGATAGGCAGCGTTTAGGCATTGTTAAAATCACTTCACAGATTTTGATATGGTCTAAAAATATTCGATTTTTTCTAAAGATTTTGTCAAAATGCTCCAATTTTGGTTGTTCTAAGTTCACGAGTTAATTTTGATTACAGTGCGAGCGAACTTGCTCGACTGTGTAGTCCATTGACTCACGCAACAGAATGTTGCTGTGCGATCCCGCTAGGCTATAGCGTCGATGCGCTTGTTGCTTAATGTAGTCCTTTAGGTAAGGGACATCGAGGTCTCTATGTAGAGTTTCGTTAGAGACATACCATAGGGCATCAGCAGTAGTGCGCAACGTCCTGCTTTGCAGAACCTGCAGATTTCGAATGTGTGTTTAAGCAATAAAACACCAAGCCACACATGCGTAAGTCATTACTGGATCCTTAGCATGGGATTTACTATTGCCACGAGATAAGTTAAGGACTTCCGCGAAAGCAGCTTCAGCACCTTATTAGTGATTTGATCCTCCCCAGGTGCTTTACGCACTTTAAGGTCTTTAATATAACCTTGAATCACTGCTGGTGTGCAATGCGGGATCTCGGGTGATGCCGCTGATGTGCTAAGTAGATCTTCGGTTGAAGAAGCTTCTGAAGAAGAATCTTCTGATGAAGAAAAATCACCAACGATAGCGCGGCTGTCACTGACGCCGTTGGCCCTAAAATATCTCCTGACAGATCTTACGATGTGTTGCTCCTCGTCGAGGTCATTATCAAGATCACAGTTGGGAGAGAACTGTCTTACCATGCCATCGGCGAAAACCTCAACCTTCTCCTCTGTCCTGAAGACAATGCCTCCAGGACCGTGAATGTGTGGGATTTGTTCACGCTTTCCGTTTTTGAGCGACTTCGCCACCTTCCAGAGAGGAATGCTTGAGTCAAGCATCCCCGCCGGAAAGTCGTTCCATTGCTCATTGCGGAATTCATGAAGAGCATTTCTTACTTCATGAACAAGATTCGTCGCTCTGCGAATGTCATCAGGATGACAAGACCTTTTCGCTTGCTTAACTGCACCCCTTTTATCAGAAATTTTCTGACGAAAGTGTGCTGGCAGAAAAGGTCTGCCGTATCGCTGCACGGGAAGTACGGCTGCACGCTGTGGAGCTTGCTGAACAAAACTTGTCCACTCTGCTTGAGCTGCATCTATACCGTTCTCATCAACTACGATCGGAATATTGGGGAACTCTCTGAGGAGCGACTTGTCTAGCTCCCAATCAATGTGTTTCTTTGGAGCGGTTTCATCCCCCAAGATCTGATAATTACCCACTTCGAAAACGAGGGGAAGATGATCGCTTGAGATGTCATACATGATTCGAGAAGTGATACTGTATCTACAGTTTTTGAATAATGCAAAATCAAGAACATCGGGTGCCTGAAGGTGATTAAATGGATGGTGAGTCGGCTCCTAAGTACTTTGTATGAGGTAGCCATTTCGTATCACATGGTTGTACAATCGGATCCCACTGGGGGAGTTCAACCTAGAATGCCATGCTCGATGTTTGCAGTTGAAGTCCCCTGCCACAATAAGCGGACCCGAGCAGTCTAAAAGGCCTTCCAGATCCGCATCTTGCAGTCTGATACGACACCTGACATACACCGATGTGATTTTTAACGGCACACCTCCCGTCATATTGACCACCACGGAAGCCGCTTCGATGCTCTGCATCTCAGCGTTTGTGCTTCTGTGGTAGTCAATACCGCGTTTCACTAGCACTGCCCAGCCGCCACCCCGTCCAGTCAATCTATCAGACCGGATAACATCGTAATTCGGGAAAGCTAGACGATCTCCCGGATTTAGTAATGTTTCCTGCAGCAATGCCACATCTATACTTTCGTCCACAAGAGCTTGATGAAATTCCCGTTTTTTGGGAATGTCCCTTAGACCCAAACAATTCCAAAAAAGAATTTTGATAAATGCAGGCTGTCGTCGATTGTACCTAGGCCATTTGCAGGAAATATCGCCTGCAAAGCCTGTGTTGCGCTAATAAGAGGACCTATGATCTGCTGTAAGGACCTTAACGCGGTTGCCAGGTCCACATCTTGCGTGTTCGCAAAAGATCCCACAGAGGGGGCAGCCCGGGTTGCATCCCTAGCTGCACTTAGGTGGTGCAGTGCAGTAAGATTGCGCATGCCCATATTTTTGGCAGCGGTGACACTACCCGATGAGTCTTGAGTTCTTTTGAACTTCGACTGGGATAGCCAAACCCAGCAGCTCATGTTCGTTGAACTGAGATTTTTCTATCTTGGGCAGTATGACTACCACCAAAGGCATGGGCACGCCGCCACCGCGTTTCAGGCGAATTATGTGCAGGGGGGAATATCCCCTCTGTTGCAACACTTCCTTGATCTCCGTTTCCGAAAGTGTCGCAGGTACTCCTCTGATTACAGCATGAATGTTCCTCTCCGAGGGTAGAGGGAAAGTGTCATGGGGCACCTCTTCCTCCCTGAAGAGACGAATAATCCTGCGGTAATCATCCACGGACTTGGGAATTATCCTGATTCCTGCATCGACGGCAACCGCGCGTTCGAATTCGATGCACAAAGAAATAAACTTGTGATTTACGCCTCGCCATCTCGAAGCATCGCGAAGAACGATGGGGGTAACACGTACCTTGCGTGGGGGCTGTGCAGTCGTGTCTTCTGATACCTGAATTGTCGAAGGCGAAGAAGTAACCGATAGATTAGGCACAGGCGGTTTATTCGAGTCGCTTGCAGTTGAACGAGACGTTTCAGACTGCGATTTTGGTGGAGGGAGAGGAGGAAAGCCTGTCGTGTCGGTCTTATTTCGTCGCTTTTACAGGGCTCAACCTTGGTGAAACCATCAGGGAGTGTATCGTCGTCAGTGGAAAGATCGCTTGAATTATTTAACGGTCTCTTAAGATTGACAGCTTTGTCTTTACTGGGATTTTGGAGTGTTTGGGAAGAATGTGTAATATATAGATGGGAAGGTACCTCGGTTTCCAGTAGGAGGTCTAATTTTACTGTTAGGTCGGTAATTGCCCGCTGCTGGGCTTCGATGATCTTCATCAATCTTTCATTGGTCTTCTTATCATCGTCCTTTTTTGACAGCTCCTGTAGAACCATCTCCAATTCGACTCTCGACTCCTCTATGGTCTGCTCCTTCGACTCCATCTCCATTGCCATGGTGGAAGCGCCATTTCCTGACCCCCTGGGTCAGTTTCCATAGTAAATACCTCGGTAATCTCGCTTTTCGTCTCAAAAATTTTCCGGATCGAAATTACGGGACAGCTGCTATTAGTGCCCTATACAGGGCGATCTGTCAAGTTGGTATCAAGGCTACCTATTTTATTTAGAAGCCAATTGTATTTTGGCCTTTCATGAATGATCTATTTTTTTTTATTTTGATTTTTACGAAAACGCGGGAGTAATTCTAGCAACTTGAAGGTCAAATTAGAAAGAAAAGAATTGCGCGTTTCGAAAAGAACAGTGGCGTACTTCTTTTATTTGGAAAAATAGTGCCACTAATCCCCTGTATCTCCGCCACCGGTGCACGTAAGTGTTGAGTAAAGACTTTTGAATTTGGAAAATACTTAGGTAAATCTACATACCAAATATTAGTTCATTCCAGTTGACGGTTTTGAAGATATTAAGAAAAAAATTGTTTATTTTTAAACTTTAACACCACGTATCTTAATGATGCCCTTGAGGGAAAAATGTTACTTAGAAGACCCCATTAAAATGTGGTTCTGCGTATGGTGTTTCATTTTTTGGTCACGACTTGTGAATCACCGTGTGTACAGTATTATCTGCTGGAAAACTGGAACACAATAGAGGTATGAATGTACTACTTACTACTTTCTTAAAAAAGTACATAAAAATAAGATAACTTATCCCTAAAAAGCGAAAATTGTTCTAAAAAAATGATGAAAGAGCAATCTATTAATGTAAAAATGCATGACATGGTCCATAAAGTTTAGAGCTTGAGAATTTTTGATTCAGCGTACGTCCTAAAAAGTTGCGTGGAGTTTTGGAAAACAGTTCACGCATTTTTTTCGTACGTTGGGCCCCTATAAGCAGAGGTCCCTGTAATATTGATACGGCGGTAGGTACTTGTCCTATACGGGTAAAAATTTAGATAGTACATCGAAAACTATGAGGAAACTATAACCAAAACTTCGTCAAAAGTCGTCAGGCAATCACTTCTTTGAACATCAAATGGTTGGACTAATATTATATTGGCCCATCTAGAGAAACGTTCCTTATTTTTAACACGAAAACCATAAATTGATTAAAGCAAAACTCATGCTTAAGGCATACAAAATTGACTACTTGAGTATCGAGTATTTTAGCTTACTTTTCAAAAACACTTTATATTGACTATGAATCATCATTTTTTTCCTACAGCGTTAATAGGACCAATCTCTGTGGGAGTGGACTCCAGTCAACTGAAATACTACGATGTCGGAGTAATAACCAAATCCCATTGCAAAAGCGAACGTCGCTATTTGAACCATGCTGCTCTTGTGGTTGGATATACTGAAGATTACTGGATCGTAAAGAACAGCTGGGGAAAGTATTGGGGAGAAAATGGATACTTCAGGCTAACGAGAAATGACGGAAATACTTGTGGTGTTGCCACGGTAGCTTCCTATCCCACTTTGGATTAGGATTCTTTTTATTATTTTAATTACTCTTGAAATAAACGTATTTACTAGTTTTGTGAGGGTTTGCCTTTTATTTCCTACCCCAGCACCCTACATTCCAAACACCACAAAATTGTCCCGGCACTGACGATTTGACAATATTAGTGGTAGATTTATGTCATTTATCGCAATCGGAGCGAGACTTGTTTGGGGATCACTTTGAATACACTATTTCAAAAATTGCCGAAAAAACAAATTACTTTCATAGGGTTTCTCATAGTTTTAGTATACAGGATGTTCCTTAATGATATGCAAATATTTAAGGATGTGAATCTGCATGAAAAATTATTGTTATTTTGCTTTACAAACTATGTTCCAAAAATGTTTCCTTACAAAAACTTGAAGTTTTAGGAAAAAAATTGAAATTAACTAATATTTTCAGTACCGCTTCAGATATTTCGCTGATATTTGGTACGTAGTGAAAGTTAATAAAATTGCATACTTTTCAATGCAAAAATAATTTTTAGCTTTAACAGTGGCGTGCGTACGGGTATTGACTTCGATATTTTTCAAGAAAAAGATGGTACGCCATTGGTTTTTTGCCGGAAACAATTTTTGAATTCCCCGTTCAATTTAAAATACAAATAACCTCTCTTCAGTTGCTTTCCTTCGATGCGTCATTTTTGAATCAAAAAATAAAAACCGTTCTATTGCCTAACTTGCAAAATTGTTATTAATTTAATTGGAAAAATTAAACACATTAGGGGTAATGAGCAACAACAACTGACAAGATAAACATAATATTAAAACCAAGGAAATGATTACAAAAATTGTTGAAATGGCCCCCTTCACTTAGAATGCATGCTTCCGCCCTCCTTCTCATGGAATTGCGCACTCGTTGAAATATCCCTGGAGTGTTTTTTATTCTATCACAAGCTGCAACTATTATTTCTCTTAATTCCTCAACAGTGTTAATTGGACTTTTGGACTCTAGTGTCTTAAGATAGCTCCACAAAGAGAAATCTGAGCTGTTGAGGTCTGGGGACCTTGGTGGCTATACTTGGTGCCCACCACGGCCAATCCAAAGATTTGGATAAACAGTTTATAAATAATTACGAACCACTACTCTTAAATGCGCTAGTGCACCATCATGCATTACCACATATTGTTTCTTATAACTAACGGAACATCGTCAAGCAGCAAAGGCAACTGTTGTTGAAGAAAATTGATGTAAGTCTGTCCGGCAAGAAGAATGGGCCAATAAAGTGGTTGCCAATAATTCGGGCCCATACGTTATCCGAAAATTGGTGATGGAAATGGGTTTCGGGTACGGCATAGGGATTTTATTCTGCCCACAAAGTGATTATTGTGGAAATTCTGAATGGCATTTCTAAAAAAATTAGCTTCGTCCGTGAACAGAGTCATTGATTCAAATTGTGGATTTTGTGTAATTTTTTGAAGATACCACTGACAAAAGGTCATACGCCTTGGAAAATCACTGGGAACTAATGCCTGTACTCTTAAAGTATGGCAAGGATATAACAAAAAATCCATTAAAATTCTCCAAACAATTTGATGGCAAATATTTAAGTGTCTAGCGATCTACCTCGTACTCGTTTCAGGACGTTCTTTGACTTCGTGCAGCACTGCTTCCTCAATTTCAGGGGTTCTCACACTTAGAGGTCTACCTTCAGATCGGGATATCTCTGGTGATAAATCCGTCTGGATTGCTCACCATTACCGTAATGCATATCCGCCATTTCTGCATTTGAATAATTCACCATTATTAAGAAGATTGTAAAAACTAAGTAGTGAAAAAGATGTCACAGCGAACAGATTTGAATAACAGAGGCCTATGAGATGTCAAAAGCCAGTGACATATTCCAGAGCAATTAGATATTTATTGCTAAATTGCATTCTTCAATTATTACATTAACTTTCTCGGACCATAGAACGGTTTTTATTTTTTTGAGTAAAAAATGGCGCATCGAAAAAACAATTAAAGAGAGATCATTTATTTTAAATTGAACGGGGAATTCAAAAATAATGTTTATTTGGCAAAAAACCATTGGCGTATCATTTGTTTCTTAAAAAATATCGAAGTTAATACCCCTACGCACGCCACTGTTTAAGCTAAAATTTATTTTGGCATCGGTTAAGATGCAACTTCATTAACTCTCACTACGTACTAAATATCACTGAGATATCTACAGCGGTTCTGAAAATATTAATGAATTTCCATTCTTTTTCTAAAACTTCAACACCCCGAGTTTTTGTAGGGAAACATTTTTGGACCATAGTTTATAAAGCAAACTAACACTAATTTTTCATGTAGTTTCATACCCTTAAATATTCGCATATCATTCAGGAACACCCTGCATATAACAAAAAAGTAGTTTATAATACAATGATTCTCCGCATTTTCTATATTGTTCAACTATCTTGTTCGCTGCCAATGAAGCTGTATTCTCAACATTTCAAGCTGTACAAAATAAAACTATGAGAATAATATTGAATAAAAATAATTAAACCGACGAATTGCAGTGGTTGAATATAATAAATTCCATATCATTATTTAGCTCTTATTTTAATATTTAAAATAAAATATCAACTATTGCCACAACATTTAGACCAATACTCATTACCAAAATTATTACACAAGAGGAAGCACAGATTTCCATTTACTAAATTGCAATAGTAAAATTACACAAATCAATATTTCAGAAGGGAGTTCTTGAATTTAATAAAATAGATACTTGTAATTTGAGGATGTTTAAAATAAAATTAACGTAACATTTCATGGACAGTGGAAATTGCCGTGTTGTCAAGATCACCGTTGAATGTACAGTGCGTACCAGGTAATTCATAAAAATTATTTTCAATTATACGCTTCATCATTTGTTCCCTCTCCATCTCCGGTTCCCCAGGTTACATCCGTATCCGGATGTATGGGCTGCCCATACATGGGATTGCCTATCTACTATTGTAGTTGCATATGATGTGCATTCCTTTCGGGCCTGATGAAGCCAACAAGCAGAAATATGTACTCGCATTGTCGAATCCACTTTCCTTCTTTTTATGGATTTTGCCCATTTTCTTTCTATCTGATATATATATATAACAAAAAACAGGAAAATAATGTACATATTACGCAAAAAGAAGGAAAGTGGATTAGAGCAGAAAATATGATAGGTAAGCCGAGCAAAACGTATTTCTGCTGGTTGGCTTTATCGGGCCCGAAACGAATGCACATATGCAACTATAAAAGTAGATGCACATGTCCACACAATCGGATGCGGGTTTAACCTGACATCTAACCACAACTACTCCAGGTGTCCAAATAGTTACGCACACGATTATGATAATGCGCAGGTGCGCCGTCATGTTGGAAGTACCTACATATGCATCCGAGTTTGCAGGTTGACATCCTCCAAAAGCAAAGGCGAATGCTCGATCAAAAAATTCAAGTATCCTGCACCATTTATTTTTGAAATTCATTTGCCTAACATAGT